TGGACCAAACTTGGCATGAATASTCAGTWTGCTCAAATGTGAACYCTGGTGGAGTTTGGGGGGGAAAGACCTTGACATTTGGGAGTTGTAGTTGCTGGGATTTATAGTTCATTTAAAATCAAATAACATTCTGAACTGCACTAAAGATGGAGACTGAACCAAACTTGGCACATAGAACTCCCATGACCAACAGAAAATACTGGAGGGTTTGGTAGGCATTGACTTTGAATTTGTGAGTTGTAGTTCACCTACATCCAGAGAGCATTGTGGACTCAGACAGTGATGGATATGGACCAAACTTGGCATGAATACTCAGTATGCTCAAATGTGAACACTGGTGGAGTTTGGGGGAAATAGATCTTGACATTTGGGAGTTGTAGTTGCTGGGATTTATAGTTCACCTACTATCAAAGCACATTCTGAACTCCATCAATGATGGAATTGAACCAAACTTGGCACACAGAACCACCATGACCAACAGAAAATACTGTGTTTTCTGATGGTCTTTGACGACCCCTCTGTCACTGCCCTTGCACCCCCCCCCCCCAGGGGTCCCAACCCCAGGTTGAGAAACGCTGCAATACACAGTTTATGGTATAGTATGAGGGATACTATACTATATACTATAGCAACTCTTAAGCAACCAGCAAACTCTATTGTGAAGTCAGCAGTTTTCCAAGGCACAGTTTAAATCCCATATAGACCCATTCAAACTATATTTCCCATTAAGAACAATACTCGTAAAATGGGGTCCGATTGTATTTCCAAACTGGGCAGTCGAACCCATAGACGTTTTGCATATATGAAAATCCAAGCTAAAGCCATATAGGCCCAGCCTTTTTTTGCATAAGGCTGCACGTTGTTGCCTAACGTAATGATTAATCCAAGCTTTGCAGGAACCAATCTTGCACCAAATAGGAAATGTATGTAGTAGCTGGGCTCCTAGTTCTCCTTCCTTTTGTACATTTGCAAGTTACGATGCTAAATTTAAAGCACAGGAAGTATATCAAAAGCATAGTTCTTCCTGCTTCTATGAGTCAGAATTTCTATCGCTTACCGATTCTTTGCATTTTGATTGTATTTTCTAAGGTTTTTTTTTTTTTTGCAAAGTTTCGAAAAAACATTTTGGGTGTCTTCTGTAGTTCTAGACCTTGGATGCAGCTACACTGTAGAATTAATGTGGTTTGGCACCACTTGGAGCGGCGTGGCTCAATGCTGTGGAAACGTGGGATTTGTAGTTCTTCGGCCTGGAGCCTCTGTTGGAAATAGCAACCCCTAAGGGCATATTTTAAACTAAGAGATTTTCAGGGAATGTCTGTCTTTTGGGCAACTGCAATTACAACTCCAAAGAAACAACCATCCGTTGCTAACCAAATATATCTTATAATATATATTATATAAACACAGATATATAAACCCATTTTCCTATTTCCAACAGACCTCACTACCTCTGAGGATGCTTGCCATAGATGCAGGCAAAACGTCAGGAGAGAATGCCTCTAGAACATGGCCATATAGCCCGAAAAAACCTACAACAACCCAGTGATTCCAGCCATGAAAGCCTTCGACAAGACATCAAATATATTTTTGTAATGACGTGCCTTTATCCTTTACAGTTTAAAGATATGGTTCTTCAGTTTAACAACTGAGATACCTGTGTGCCATGACATGAATGCTTATGAATATCACTTGTTCAAAGGGTTGACTTCTAACAAGGTCATGCTTCTCTTGACTTGTGGTTTCCAAAAGGTGGTCTCCAACTGTTCATGGAGATTCACATCATTTTTACCTTTTCAATTAATTTTATGGTGTAGTTATTTCCAATTGGTTATGGAATTTCCAATAGCCTCGCCCAAAAACAACAACTCCCATTATTCTGTCGCAGTTCTAGTGGGACCAAACTATTCATTCTGCAGTGTAGATGCACCCGTTTGGCACAAAAATACTGACTGCCTTAGAATAATCTACATAAATAAAAATGTAATGTTCGTTTGTGGGATTAACAGAACTCAAAAACCACTGGGGGAATTGACACCAAATTTGGACACAATACACCTAACAACCTCAAAAAATTGATTTTGTTATTTGGGAGTTGTAGTTGCTGGGATTTATAGTTCACCTACAATCAAAAAGCATTCTGAACTCCACCAATTATGGTATTGAACCAATCTTGGGGCACAGAACTCCCATGACCAACAGAAAATACTACAAGAGTTTGGTGGGCATTGACCTTGAGTTTGGGAGTTGTAGTTCACCTACATACAGAGAGCACTTTGGACTCAAACAGTGATGGATCTGGATTTGCAGTCGCTTCAAAGAGTGCAGTTGCATTTTAAAAAGCTGCAATTGCATTATCCAAGAGTGCAACTGCATTTTTAAAAGAAGAAATTCCATTTTCAAAGATTGAAGTTGCATTAACATCTGCAATTACGTTTTCAAAGAATATTGAAATGTATAGTGTTGAGAATGTATTGTATCATTGCACTCCAGGCCTGGAAACACCTATGACCATCACACCTCATAAGAGCCCAGGAATATGAGCAAACGGTTTTTTGGAAAAACATATAGAAAACATATAAAAATCAGGAATAAAAAAGATATATGATCCCAAAAGGTTTAGCAACAGGTGATAACCAAGTAGTAATCCGAATGTCTCATATAGATCCAAAGGTGACAAAGTCCAGGAACAACCAGAAATCACAGGTACAGCATAAGTAAACAAGAAGGAATAATTAGTAAAACTTGAACAGGAATACAAGAACAGGAACATAGAAAACTTCCAGGATATTTAAATCCAAAACCAAGGCTTGACATGAACCAAGTACCAGGGAACTCACTTTAACGCTACGTTGCCTGAACTGAACTTTAGGTAAACAACTAGCTGTTTAATAGACACCCGTGAAATCATTTAGTTTCCCATGAATTTTCTCCACAATTTTTCCACGTATTCTCTCTGAACAACGCAATCTATTTTCTGCTGTGATCTGTAAACAAAGACTTTTGTTGATCTCCATAACTACCGGTGGTTTCTCCTGGGAACCCTTGTTATCACTGAGCTTTTCACTCAATTCCCTATTTGCTGTTGCTACTTCTGTCTCCCCTGAATGCCCTTGAAGCCCTATACTTTCTGAGCCAGTTTTCTCACAGGGAGAATCATAATTTCCCAGACTTGAGAGCCCATCACTTTGTGCCTCAGGAAAGCTCACAATCCTCTCTAACTCATCAGTTAAACCATCAGCCTTTGACTGATGTACAACATATATAATAATAATAATAATAATAATAATAATAATAATAATACAACGACCAATCTTGCCACAGTGAAGTGTGGCTCTTAATGAGCCATGCCACATGCCGCATTATCACAGGATGTCTATGCCCTACACCATTGGAGAAATTATACTGTTTAGCCAGTATAACACCACTTGACATCTGTTGGGAAGTAGCAGCTAATAATGAATGGATCAAGGCATTGACATCTCTGGCCCATCTTCACTCGATTCCTTATCTGCTGTTGCTACTTCTGACTCCTCTGAATGCCTTTGTACTTTCTGAGCCAGTTTTCTCACAGAGAGAATTATCATTTCCCAGACTCGAATTTCCCAGACTTGAAGGCCTATCACTTTGTACCACAGGAAAGCTCACAATCCTCTCTAACTCCTCAGTTTAGCCATCAGCCTCTGACTGATCTACAACGTGTATAATAATGATGATAATAATAATAATAATAGTAATAATAATAATAATAATACAACTACCAATCTCGCCAAAGTGAAGATGACATTTCTGAGCAGCAAGCAAGCTGTTCTCAATACAGAGTGAATTACATCTCCCCAAGTTTGGTGGAAAACGTCTCCAGATATGTACATGTACATGTTCTTCTTGTTGCACTCCAGAACAGGAATAATCCTCTGACTTTAAACACCACACGTTGAATAGGAAAAAACAACCCTTTTATTGAAGATAATTAAAAAGCAGTAAAGTAAAAAACACTTTAAAGAAATAGGTAAATCCAATTAGGTAGGAAGGTAAATAGGAGCAAAGTAGTCCAGGGTAATAGTCCAGCAAAGTCCATAAAAACAAAGTCAACATTTTCCAAATAAAATACAAGAAATCAGGAAACATGAATCCAAGGCATGAATATAAAGGCATAGAATCCAAGAATCAAAACCATGAAACAAAGGCACTTAAAACATGAATTTTCCAAGCAAAGCTTCCATGAAACAAGGACAAGATCTTGACTTGATTCCAAACGATGCTTCATCTGACTACATATCCTGTACTTGAGACTTTTATCTCCTCATTACGCTATGTCTCTAGCGCACAGAAACTGGTTTCACTTTAATTGAGAAGTTCTTATCTTTTTCTCTCAGAGCCTGGCAGAACGCCGAAGCCACTGTTCGGCTCTCCTGTTTTGACTGATCTCCTCTCGTCTATCTATTTGCTCATTAATTTCTGCAGCTGGGCCAGGTGCCGAGCTGTTTTCATGTTCTCTATCATGGAAACTCTCTGGTTACAATTCAAAAAGCATAATCATCCTCACACACACACAACCAAGGACATTCTCATGGGAAACCACTTTGCACAGGGATCTCCTGGTCATTCTCTGCATCAAGATCACTGACCAAACCATTGCCATCTTGAAACTCATCTTGAACCTCATTGATGTCATTCCTCACATCCAAAGCACCCTGATCCTGAAACACAATCACAGGCCAAACTCCAACACTCCTGAATCCAGTATGTGGGACATGATGGAGAAATTAATTCAAATTGCAGGAGGAAAGAATCCACCTAAGCATTAGGAAGCACATTTTTTGTGTTTTCCTACATGGAATAAGGTGGGTTGGACTGGATAACCTTTGGGATCCCTTCCAACTGTGTGATTCAATGACCTACCTAGACTCACTCCTTCCTTCATTCCTTGATTGTATATAATAAGGATGGAATGGTTAGAATGAATTCAATCCTAAACAGTTTGCCATTAAGTTTACACCCACTTGATTTCCGTCTGGCCTCCCGCTTTCCGGGCGATTTGCACCAACTCCTTCCCATAACGCTCCTCGGCCTGTGCTCTGTGGAAAGGAAAAACACAATTTTCACAGTCTGAAGGATTCCAAAACATCTTCAGTAATTTATTTATTTATTTATTTATTTATTTATTTATTTATCGTGTCAGTATCAACCAGAAAATTGTATTACATTTTTAACAATTTTTTAACAAACAGACAAAACAGAGTTTGCAAGCTTGGTAGTTGATTAAATGTCCTTTGACCAGTATCTGGCCACTTGGAGTGCCTCTGGTGTTGCCGCAAGAAGGTCCTCCATTGTGCATGTGGCAGGGCTCAGGTTGCATTGCAGCAGGTGGTCAGTGGTTTGCTCTTCTCCACACTCGCATGTCGTGGATTCCACTTTGTGGACCCATTTCTGAAGGTTGGCTCTGCATCTCGTGGTGCCAGAGCGCAGTCTGTTCAGCGCCTTCCAAGTCGCCCAGTCTTCTGTGTGCCCAGGAGGGAGTCTCTCATTTGGTATCAGTCATTGATTAAAGGTTCTGGGTTTGAGCCTGCCACTTTTGGACTCTCGCTTGCTGAGGTGTTCCAGCGAGTGTCTCTGTAGATCTTAGAAAACTATTCTTGATTTAAGTCATTGATGTGCTGGCTGATACCCAAACAGGGGATGAGCTGGAGATGTCTCTGCCTTGGTCCTTTCACTATTGGCTGCTACTTCCCGGCGGATGTCAGGTGGTGCAATACCGGCTAAGCAGTGTAATTTCTCCAGTGGTGTAGGGCGCAGACACCCGTGATAATGCGGCATGTCTCATTAAGAGCCACAACCACTGTTTTAGCGTGTTGAGATGTGTTCCACACTGGACACGCATACCCAGCAGCAGAGTAGCATAGCGCAAGGGCAGATGTCTTCACTGTGTCTGGTTGTGATCCCCAGGTTGTGCCAGTCAGCTTTCATATGATATTGTTTCTAGCGCCCACTTTTTGCTTGATGTTCAGGCAGTGCTTCTTGTAGGTCAGAGCACAGTCCAGAGTGACTCCCAGGTATTTGGGTGCGCTGCAATGCTCCAGTGGGATTCCTTCCCAGGTCATCCTCAGAGTAATAAAACACCTAGAGATCCCTATAGAGAACCCCTCTCTAGAAATCTCAACCCCCTCCAATGCAGTCCTATGCGGAACCTCATTATAAGTTGACTGTGTTTCCATTCATCTTAGGTCCCTTCCACACAGTTGTATAGAATCCACATTATACTTCAGTGATCCCTCGTTGTCCAAGTAGAATAATCCTCCAGGGTGGGTCCGTAGGTGACTGTGGAGCCCTATTCTTGACCTGCATCTTCTCCCACAGTGAGGGCATCAGTTTCCAGGTGGAAGATGGTCCTGGCACATTTCTCCCTTTCACCCTCCATTCGTGCCTCTTCGAATTCTGCAGCACTGCTGGTCACAGCTGACCTCCAGCTGGAGCGCTCAAGGGCCAGGGCTTCCCAGTTCTCAGTGTCTATGCCAGAGTTTTTAAGGTTGGCTTTGAGCCCATCTTTAATCTCTTTTCCTGCCCACCAACATTCCGTTTTCCGTTCTTGAGTTCGGAGTAGAGCAACTGCTTTGGGAGACGGTGGTCGGGCATCCGGAAAACGTGGCCGGTCCAGCGGAGTTGATGGCGGAGGACCATCGCTTCAATGCTGGTGGTCTTTGCTTCTTCCAGCACGCTGACGTTTGTCCGCTTGTCTTCCCAAGAGATTTGCAGGATTTTCCGGAGGCAGCACTGATGGAATCGTTCCAGGAGTTGCATGTGATATCTGTAGACAGTCCACGACTCGCAGGCACATAGCAGGGTTGGGAGGGGAATAGCTTTATAGACAAGCCCCTTGGTCTCCCGACGGATGTCCCGGTCCTCAAACACTCTTTGCTTCATTTGGAAAAATGCTGCACTCGCAGAGCTCAGGGTATTGTATTTCAGTGTCAATGTTGACTTTTGTGGAGAGGTGGCTGCCAAGGGAGCGGAAATGGTCAACATTTTCTAATGTTACACCATTAAGCTGTATTTCTGGCTTTGGAGAGGGCCTGGCCGGTGACTGCTGGAAGAGCACTTTGGTCTTCTCGATGTTTAATGACAGGCCGAGCTCCTCGTATGCTTCTGTGAAGGTGTTTAGAGTGGCTTGCAGGTCTTCTTCTGAATGCGCACAGACGACGTTGTCATCAGCATACTGGAGTTCTATAACAGATGTTGTTGTAACCTTGGTTTTGGCTTTCACTCTGCTGACATCAAATAGCCTGCCATCAGTACAATAGATGATTTCCACTCCGGTGGGAAGCTTCCCGTCAACAAGATGAAGCAGAACTGGATTATATGGTAGTGTGGACTTAGATAACCCAGTTCAAAGCAGTTATCTGTCTAAATATTCTAGGTTATATGACTGTGCAGAGGGATCCTTAGAGAACTGCCAGCCAACAACATAAATAATAGCTCTCTTTCAAAGTTTTCCAAGTAAGGGCAACCTTGCAACTGTTCCAGTAGCATTCCTTTCTGACATTTCACCTCCATCTGTGGCTAATGGCATCTTCAGAGGTCTGTTGGAAATGAGGCCTGTGGAGTGTTTGCGTATCTGAAATGTCCAGGGTGGGAGAAAGACCTCTTGTCTGTTTGAAGCAAGTGTGAATATTGCAATAATAATAGTAATAATAATAATAATAATAATAATTTATATTCCACTCTATCTCCTCAGGGCGGATTCCAAACATAAAAGGCAAACATTCAATGCCCGAATACGATTAGCAAGCTTGAATAGCATTGACTTGCCATGAAGCTGCAAATTCAATCAGTGAGGGTATCTGCATAGAGGTAGCCTGGACTCTGTTGCTTGGAGGCACCCTCTGTTTGGGAGGTGTGTTAACTGGCACATGATTATTTGCTGTCTGGAGTGCCCCTGTTTCTCGCTGGTGTTCATTATTTACTGTCTTGATTCTGGTGTCAGCCATAGCAGAGCACCCGATGAACCAACCTGGACACAGCATTTTGAGAACACAGAAATGCTGGACCACAATCACAACCACCATGTCAAATTACGCAGAGAAGCCATTGCAATCCACAAGAAGCACGTGGACAGTTTCAACAGAAAGGAGGAAACTGTGAAAAGGACCACAATTTGGTTACCATTACTAAAAAAACATCACAAGCAAGACAGTAAATAAACAACACTGCTCAGAAGCAGGAGAACTGCAGACAGCAAGCGCCAGTGAACACTTCCCAAACAAAGGATGCCTCCAGGCAACAGAGGCCAGGCTGCCACTATGCAGACACCCTCACTGATTGACTTTGCAGCTGCAGGGCCACTCAATGCTATTCAAGCTTGCTCATTGCAACATCTGGACTTGCTTCAAGTAGACAAGGATTCTTTCTCCCAGCCTGGACATTATTCCAGAGGATGCCTCCAGGCAACAGAGGCTAGGCTGCCTCTTTGCAGACACCCTCACTAATTGACTTTGCAGCCCCAAGGCAACTCAATGTTATTCAAGCTTGCTAATTGCATATTCACATTTGCTTCAAGCAGACAAGGATTTTTTCTCCCATCCTGGACATTATTCCAGGGGACGCCTCCAGGTAACAGAGGCCAGGCTGCCTCTATGCAGACACCCTCATTGATCGACTTTGCAGCTGCAAGGCCACTCAATGCTATTCAAGCTTGCTCATTGCAACATCCACACTTGCTTCAAGCAGACAAGGATTCTTTCTCCCACCCCGGACATTATTCCAGAGGATGCCTCAAGGCAACAGAGGCCAGGCTGCCTCTTTGCAGAAACCCTCACTGATTGACTTTGCAGCTGCAAGTCCACTCAGTGATATTCAAGCTTGCTAATTGCAATATCCATGCTTCAAGCGGACAAGGATTCTTTCTACCAGTCTGGACATTATTCCAGAGGATGCCTGCAGGCAACAGAGGCCAGGTTGCCTCTTTGCAAACACCCTTACTGATTGACTTTGCAGCCGCAAGGCTACTCAATGCTATTTAAGCTTGCTAATTGCAACATCCACACTTGCTTCAAGCGGATAAGGATTCTTTCTCCCACCCTGGACATTATTCCACAGATATTGTTTGACTACCTCTTTGCAGAGCCCCTCACTGATTGATTTTGCAGCTGGAAGGCTACTCAATGCTATTCAAGCTTGCTCATTGCAACATCCGGACTTGCTTTCTACAGACAAGGGTTCTTTCTCCCACCCTGGACATTATTCCACAGGTGTGTGTGTGTGTGTGTGTGTGTGTATATATTCTCTCTCTCTCTCTCTCTCTCCTTGTTACCTCTATGCAGATACCCTCACTGATTGACTTTGCAGCTTCATGGCTACTCAATGCTATTCAAGCTTGCTCATTGCAACATCCACACTTGCTTTGCACAGACTAAAAGTTCTTTCTCCCATCCTGGATATTATTCCACACACACACACACACACACACACACTACTTGTTACCTCTATGCAGATACCCTCACTGATCGACTTTGCAGCTGCAAGGCTACTCAATGATAAGCAAGCTTGCTAATTGCAAGACCCACACTTGCATCAATCACACATGGGATATATACACTCCACTTGCCTCATTCCCACAGACCTCTGAACAAACCACTGTGGATGCCAGCCACAGATGCAGGTGAAACATCAGGAGAGGATGCTACTGGAACATGGACATTTGGCCCGAAAAACTCTCAGTGAGTCAGTGATTCAGGCCATGAAAGCATTTGACAACACAACGTCAACCACGTCATAGGGTCAGGAAGAGGCATTCACATCCATCCCAACCCACTTTTTCTCCCTTCCGCTCCATTTTATTACAATATTGGATTCGACTCCAGTCATGGAAACTCATTTCCATAAATATTAAAAATCCTACTTTAATATTTATAAGCTGGAGGTCTGAAACTGTTGTCTAATTGTCGTGATCTGCTTTGAGTCCCAATCACATCCATAAAACCAGGTTACAAATTAATAATAATAATAATAATAATAATAATAATAATAATGCATTTATATCCGAAATCTCAGAGTGCACTCGATATTCGGTTCTACTCAACCGAAATAAAACTGGGATATAAATAAATAAAATTTATTTAGATTTAATTTAATACAATTTATTTATATTTTATTATTATTATTATTAAATTATTATTATTATTATTATTATTATTATTATTATTATTATTATTATTGGAGTCGCACTCTCTCGGTCTCAAAGAAAAGCCAAGTTTGGCCTAGAAAACCTCAAGATAGGTTCGCTTTAGGGAATCGGAAGGATTTGAAGGGCACACGAAAGCAACATTTCCATCGCCTGGAAGAAATCTTTACTCATCTCTATTAAAAATAGTCCACGTCTGTGTCACTTTTGACTCCCAAGATGATTCATGAACGCTTAGTGAACCAGTTTAATGATCTCCCAGCCTTGATTGACCGTTTTCCTTACCTTTGTTTGATTAAGTCCTCCACGTCTTTGCACATCTTCCGCCCATCCAGCAATCGCTGCAGGAGCGCATCGTATCCGGCGTGAACAGTGAACTCTTTGCACTAGGAGTTAATTAAGAGATGAAATAGCTAATTAGTAGACATGGTTCTGTTCTGGATTAATTCTGCATCTTGTTTCCAAAATGGCATGAAACAGAGCACAAGGTTGTGACTTGATTCCAAATGATGCTTCATCTAACTACATATCCTGTACTTGGGACTTTTTATGTCCTCGTTAGCTATGTCTCTAGCGCTCAGAAATTGATTTCACTTTAGCTAAAAATTTCTTATCTTTTTGTCTCGGAGCCTGGCAGAACGCCGAAGCCACTGTTCGGCTCTCCTGTTTTGACTCTCCTGTTTGATCTGCTCCCGTCTATTTGCGCCTTAGCTTCTGCAGCTGGGCCAGGTGCTGATCTATTTTCATCATCGGGTTGTTGTAGGTTTTTCCAGGCTATATGGCCATGTTCTGGAGGCAATTTTTCTCCTGACGTTTCGCCTGCATCTATAGCAAGGATGCAGGCAAAACGTCAGAAGAAAAATTGCCTCCAGAACATGGCCATATAGCCCGGAAAAACCTACAACAACCCAGTGATTCCGGCCATGAAAGCCATCGACAATATATTTTCATCATCATCCCCACACCCCTCAGGGACATTAAATGCAAGAAATCATGAACCCAAGGCATAAATATAAAAGCATAGAATCCAAGAATCAAAACCATGAAACAAAGGCACTTAAAACATGAATTTTCCAAGCAAAGCTTCCATGAAACAAAGACGAGATCTTGACTTGATTCCAAACGATGTTTCATCTAACGACATATCCTGTACTTGGGACTTTTATCTCCTCATTACGCTGTGCCTCTAGCGCTCAGAAATTGGTTTCGCTTCAACTGAGTTCTTATTTTTTTCTCTCAAAACCTGGCAGAACACCGAAGCCACTGTTCAGCTCTCCTGTTTTGACTGATCTCCTCTCATCTATCTATTTGCTCATTAATTTCTGCAGCTGGGCCAGGTGCTGAGCTGTTTTCATGTTCTCTATCATGGAAACTCTCTGGTAACAATTCAGAAAGCACACTATCATCCCCACACCCCTCAGGGACATTCTCATGGGAAACTACACTTTGCACAGGGATCTCCTGGTCATTCTCTGCATCAACATCACTGGCCAAACCACTGCAAGCTTGAAACTCATCTTCCAACTCATTGACATCATTCTCCACATCCAAAGCACCCTGATCCTGGAACACAATCACAGGCTGAGCTCCAACAGGAAAATCACATTCAAAGCCCCCACCCCCGACAGATGGCCACCCAGCCTCTTCTTAAAAGACTCCTAAGAAGGAGCCTCCACCACACTCCAGAGCAGAGAGTTCCACTACTGAACAGCTCTCGCAGTCATAAAAATTGAGCATGGAAACACCTAGAAACGTATCGAAGGCCTATGATGCTCTCCTATCAAGGCGATGCTACTTAACTTAAGAAGGGAATGTTTGGAAATGAACGAAAAGCATTGATCACAACGGTTTGTGCTTATTTAACCAGTATAGGATGGTTTGCAAGCTAAAGTGGGGATAAAGAAGCTCGAGGTTTTTAGTCCTGCTACCTTACTAAACTCAGAGTGGTACAGTCTAGGCATGATTAGGTACAGTCGGAATCTTCATAATTCGGAATAAATTTGGAAAAATTATCTTTTCAAAGCGATTTTGAAGTTTTTAAGAAAACTGGAAGTCCCTTTGCCCTTCTGAAGCTTTTTCCGCCATTTTTGTTACAATTCCTGAAGTGAGTCGGAAATTATTCGGCTTTTCTCCGCTTCTGGTCCCTGGCCTCGGCTCAAGCCAGAGAAGCCAGTTTTAAAGCCAGAGAAGCCAGTTTTAAATTGGGAAAGGAAGGAATTTCCTGACCTGGGCTCAAGCCAGAGAAGCCAGTGTTAAAGCCAGAGAAGCCAGTTTTAAACCAGAAAATGAAAGAATTTCCTGGCCTCGGCTCAAGCCAGAGAAGCCAGTTTTAAAGCCAGAGAAGGAAGGAATTTCCTGGCCTCGGCTCAAGCCAGAGAAGCCAGTTTTAAACCAGAAAAGGAAGGAATTTCCTGGCCTCGGCTCAAGCCAGAGAAGCCAGTTTTAAACCAGAAAAGGAAGGAATTTCCTGGCCTTGGCTCAAGCCAGAGAAGCCAGTTTTAAACCAGAAGGAAGGAATTTCCTGGCCTCGGCTCAAGCCAGAGAAGCCAGTTTTAAACCAGAGAAGGAAGGAATTTCCTGGCCTCGGCTCAAGCCAGAGAAGCCAGTTTTAAACCAGAGAAGGAAGGAATTTCCTGGCCTCGGCTCAAGCCAGAGAAGCCAGTTTTAAACCAGAAAAGGAAAGAATTTCCTGGCCTCGGCTCAAGCCAGAGAAGCCAGTTTTAAACCAGAAAAGGAAGGAATTTCCTGGCCTCGGCTCAAGCCAGAGAAGCCAGTTTTAAACCAGAGAAGGAAGGAATTTCCTGGCCTCGGCTCAAGCCAGAGAAGCCAGTTTTAAACCAGAGAAGGAAGGAATTTCCTGGCCTCGGCTCAAGCCAGAGAAGCCAGTTTTAAACCTGAGAACTGGCCTGGGCTCAAGCCAGAGAAGCCAGTTTTAAACCAGAGAAGGAAGGAATTTCCTGGCCTCGGCACAAGCCAGAGAAGCCAGTTTTAAAGCCAGAGAAGCCAGTTTTAAACCAGAGAAGAAAGGAATTTCCTGGCCTCGGCTCAAGCCAGAGAAGCCAGTTTTAAACCAGAGAAGGAAGGAATTTCCTGCCTCGGCTCAAGCCAGAGAAGCCAGTTTTAAACCAGAAAAGGAAGGAATTTCCTGGCCTCGGCTCAAGCCAGAGAAGCCAGTTTTAAACCAGAGATGGTCCCTGGCCTCGGATCAAGCCAGAGAAGCCAGTTTTAAACCAGAGAAGGAAGGAATTTCCTGTCCTTGGCTCAAGCCAGAGAAGCCAGTTTTAAACCAGAGAGAAGGAATTTCCTGGCCTCGGCTCAAGCCAGAAAAGCCAGTTTTAAAGCCAGAGAAGCCAGTTTTAAACCGGGAAAGGAAGGAATTTCCTGACCTGGGCTCAAGCCAGAGAAGCCAGTGTTAAAGCCAGAGAAGCCAGTTTTAAACCAGAAAATGAAAGAATTTCCTGGCCTCGGCTCAAGCCAGAGAAGCCAGTTTTAAAGCCAGAGAAGGAAGGAATTTCCTGGCCTCGGCTCAAGCCAGAGAAGCCAGTTTTAAGCCAGAAAAGGAAGGAATTTCCTGGCCTCGGCTCAAGCCAGAGAAGCCAGTTTTAAACCAGAGAAGGAAGGAATTTCCTGGCCTCGGCTCAAGCCAGAGAAGCCAGTTTTAAACCAGAGAAGGAAGGAATTTCCTGGCCTCGGCTCAAGCCAGAGAAGCCAGTTTTAAACCAGAGAAGGAAGGAATTTCCTGGCCTCGGCTCAAGCCAGAGAAGCCAGTTTTAAACCAGAAAGGAAGGAATTTCCTGGCCTCGGCTCAAGCCAGAGAAGCCAGTTTTAAACCAGAGAAGGAAGGAATTTCCTGGCCTCGGCTCAAGCCAGAGAAGCCAGTTTTAAACCAGAAAAGGAAGGAATTTCCTGGCCTCGGCTCAAGCCAGAGAAGCCAGTTTTAAACCAGAAAAGGAAGGAATTTCCTGGCCTCGGCTCAAGCCAGAGAAGCCAGTTTTAAACCAGAAAAAGGAAGGAATTTCCTGGCCTCGGCTCAAGCCAGAGAAGCCAGTTTTAAACCAGAGAAGGAAGGAATTTCCTGGCCTCGGCTCAAGCCAGAGAAGCCACCAGTTTTAAACCAGAGAAGGAAGGAATTTCCTGGCCTCGGCTCAAGCCAGAGAAGCCAGTTTTAAACCAGAGAAGGAAGGAATTTCCTGGCCTTGGCTAAAGCCAGAGAAGCCAGTTTTAAACCAGAGAAGGAAGGAATTTCCTGGCCTCGGCTCAAGCCAGAGAAGCCAGTTTTAAACCAGAGAAGGAAGGAATTTCCTGGCCTCGACTCAAGCCAGAGAAGCCAGTTTTAAACCAGAGAAGGAAGGAATTTCCTGGCCTCGGCTCAAGCCAGAGAAGCCAGTTTTAAACCAGAGAAGGAAGGAATTTCCTGGCCTCGGCTCAAGCCAGAGAAGCCAGTTTTAAACCAGAGAAGGAAGGAATTTCCTGGCCTCGGCTCAAGCCAGAGAAGCCAGTTTTAAACCAGAGAAGGAAGGAATTTCCTGGCCTCGGCTCAAGCCAGAGAAGCCAGTTTTAAACCAGAGAAGGAAGGGATTTCCTGGCCTCGGCTCAAGCCAGAGAAGCCAGTTTTAAACCAGAGAAGAAAGGGATTTCCTGGCCTCGGCTCAAGCCAGAGAAGCCAGTTTTAAACCAGAGAAGGAAGGAATTTCCTGCCCTCAGCTCAAGCCAGAGAAGTCGAGGAGCCAGTTTTAAACCAGAGAAGGAAGGAATTTCCTGGCCTCGGCTCAAGCCAGAGAAGCCAGTTTTAAACCAGAGAAGGAAGGAAGTTCCTGGCCTCGGCTCAAGCCAGAGAAGCCAGTTTTAAAGCCAGAGAAGCCAGTTTTAAACCAGAGAAGGAAGGAATTTCCTGGCCTCGGCTCAAGCCAGAGAAGCCAGTTTTAAAGCCAGAGAAGCCAGTTTTAAACCAGAGAAGGAAGGAATTTCCTGGCCTCGGCTCAAGCCAGAGAAGCCAGTTTTAAACCAGAGAAGGAGGGACTTTCCTGGCCTCGGCTCAAGCCAGAGAAGCCAGTTTTAAAGCCAGAGAAGCCAGTTTTAAACCAGAGAAGGAAGGAATTTCCTGGCCTTGGCTCAAGCCAGAGAAGCCAGTTTTAAACCAGAGAAGGAAGGAATTTCCTGGCCTCGGCTCAAGCCAGAGAAGCCAGTTTTAAAGCCAGAGAAGAGTTTTAAACCAGAGAAGGAAGGAATTTCCTGGCCTCGGCTCAAGCCAGAGAAGCCAGTTTTAAACCAGAGAAGGAAGGAATTTCCTGGCCTCGGCTCAAGCCAGAGAAGCCAGTTTTAAACCAGAGAAGGAAGGAATTTCCTGGCCTCGGCTCAAGCCAGAGAAGCCAGTTTTAAACCAGAGAAGGAAGGAATTTCCTGGCCTCGGCTCAAGCCAGAGAAGCCAGTTTTAAACCAGAGAAGGAAGGAATTTCCTGGCCTCGGCTCAAGCCAGAGAAGCCAGTTTTAAACCAGAGAAGCCAGTTTTAAAGTCGGAGAAGCCAGTTTTAAACCAAAAAAGGAAGGAATTTCCTGGCCTTGGCTCAAGCCAGAGAAGCCAGTTTTAAACCAGAAAAGGAAGGAATTTCTTGGCCTCAGCTCAAGCCAAAGCCAGTTTTAAAGCCAGAGAAGTCAGTTTTAAATCAGGAAAGGAAGGAATTTCCTGGCCTTGGCTCAAGCCAGAGAAGCCAGTTTTAAAGTCGGAGAAGCCAGTTTTAAACCAGAAAAAGAAGGAATTTCCTGGCCTCGGCTCAAGCCAGAGAAGCCAGTTTTAAACCAGAGAAGGAAGGAATTTCCTGGCCTCGGCTCAAGCCAGAGAAGCCAGTTTTAAACCAGAGAAGGAAGGAATTTCCTGGCCTCGGCTCAAGCCAGAGAAGCCAGTTTTAAACCAGAAAAGGAAGGAATTTCCTGGCCTCGGCTCAAGCCAGAGAAGCCAGTTTTAAACCAGAAAAGGAAGGAATTTCCTGGCCTCGGCTCAAGCCAGAGAAGCCAGTTTTAAAGCCAGAGAAGCCAGTTTTAAACCAGAGAAGGAAGGAATTTCCTGGCCTCGGCTCAAGCCAGAGAAGCCAGTTTTAAACCAGAGAAGGAAGGAATTTCCTGGCCTCGGCTCAAGCCAGAGAAGCCAGTTTTAAACCAGAGAAGGAAGGAATTTCCTGGCCTCGGCTCAAGCCAGAGAAGCCAGTTTTAAACCAGAGAAGGAAGGAATTTCCTGGCCTCGGCTCAAGCCAGAGAAGCCAGTTTTAAAGCCAGAGAAGCCAGTTTTAAACCAGAGAAGGAAGGAATTTCCTGGCCTCGGCTCAAGCCAGAGAAGCCAGTTTTAAACCAGAGAAGGAAGGAATTTCCTGGCCTCGGCTCAAGCCAGAGAAGCCAGTTTTAAACCAGAGAAGGAAGGAATTTCCTGGCCTTGGCTCAAGCCAGAGAAGCCAGTTTTAAACCAGAAAAGGAATCTCCTTGCCTTGGCTCAAGCCAGAGAAACCAGTTTCAAAGCCAGAGAAGCCAGTTTTAAACCAAAAAAGGAAGGAATTTCCTGGCCTTGGCTCAAGCCAGAGAAGCCAGTTTTAAACCAGAGAAGGAAGGAATTTCCTGGCCTTGGCTCAAGCCAGAGAAGCCAGTTTTAAAGCCAGAGAAGCCAGTTTTAAAGAGAAGGAAGGAATTTCCTGGCCTTGGCTCAAGCCAGAGAAGCCAGTTTTAAAGCCAGAGAAGCCAGTTTTAAACCAGAGAAGGAAGGAATTTCCTGGCCTTGGCTCAAGCCAGAGAAGCCAGTTTTAAAGCCAGAGAAGCCAGTTTTAAACCAGAGAAGGAAGGAATTTCCTGGCCTCGGCTCAAGCCAGAGAAGCCAGTTTTAAACCAGAAAAGAAAGGAATTTCCTCTGCTTGCTTTCCCCTGCTTCTGGAGTAAAACAACTACTTACAAAGTAAAGACCACCCAATGAAACAGGAAATAACACTTTCAAACCATTAATGAAAGGATTCGAAAGTCTCGGAAGTTTCAAAAAGTTTTGAACATTTTTTTCTGTGAAAATCAGAATTGACTTTAGAATCGAACCACCAGCGCCCCTACATCCGAAACAAGTTTTGAACCATTTTTTGGATCAACCAAGCCTAGTGCAGGCTGCATCTGTACTATAGAATTAATGCAGTTTGACGCCACTTTTGAAATAAGAGCATTATATTCAGTCCAAACCGGGTGGAAAGCACTACCAGCTGCGAGACAAACCACTGCCTTTGTTCCTGGAAGGGCTTTGGCTGGAAAAAGAGAAGTTCTCAGTTAACCGCAGAAGGAACAGAGGAAATATAACACACCAAAGACCCTGTCGAAATGCAACTCCCAGGATCCCATCGCATTGAGCCATTGCAATTAAACTGTATTCGTTTTGCAGTGCAAATGCACCCAAAAAGTACCCCAAAAAGGCCCTTGAACAATACCCTAAGAAGAGTGAGATTCTCCTAGGAGCGGATCAGGTTCTCCTTTGGGAAAATAATAAGTTGAAAGAAAAACCTAACGATTCCACTCATTGGAAGTTACAAAGAGCCGCAAGCCAAACCTACTATTGCCTTTGCCATTCCCAGCACGGAGACGAACCCAGCGGAGAAGGATCCAGCTTCACGTTGCTGCAAAAAATGTGAATTTCTTCCTTCGGATGCATCATCCCAACCATTACGCTCCGACTGATTCACCCGTTTCACACCAAATTAAGCCCAATGTCAGACTTTCCCAGGGAAATATCATTGTGTCTTGGAATAGGAAGTGGCGTTAGTCTGAATCAGGCGTTTCGATGGTGCATCTACACCAGGCACGAGCAAACTTGGGCCCTTCTGGTGTTTTGGACTCCAACTCCCACCATTCCTAACCACCTCGGGCCCCCTCCTTTTCTCCCTCAGCTGCTTAAGCGTTCAGTTCTAGCAAGTCGAAAGAAATTATTATATAGTAAATAGTTGAGTGTACTCAATGTTCAGTTCTACCAAAAAAAAATTATTATATAATAAATAGTTGAGTGTACTTAATGTTCAGTTCTACCAAGCTGAAAAAAATTATAATTATTATATAGAAAATAGTTGAGTGTACTCAACGCTCGGTTCTACCAAGCCGATAATAATAATAATAATAATAATAATAATAATAATAATTATWATTATTATTATTATTATTATTATTATATAGTAAATAGTTTAGTGTACTCAAAGTTCAGTTCTACCAAGCCAATAATAATAATAATAATAATAATAATAATAATAATAATAATAATTGGCTTGGTAGATCTGAATTTTGAGTACACTAAACTATTTACTATATTATAATAATAATAATAATAATAATAATAATAATAATTATTATTATTATTATTATTATTATTATTTTCAACTTAGTAGAACTGAACATTCGCTTTGAGTCACCTGAGGGCTGAGAAAAGCGGTATAGTAGTAAATAATTGAGTGCACTCAATGTTCAGTTCTACCAAGCCAATAATAATAATAATAATAATAATAATAATATAGTAAATAGTTGAGTGCACTCCAGTTCTACCAAGCTGAGAAAAAAATATATAGTAAATAACTGAGTGCACTCAATGTTCAGTTCTACCAAGCCAATAATAATAATAATAATAATAATAATAATAATAATAATAATAATAATATAGTAAATAGTTGAGTGCACTCAATGTTCAGTTCTACCAAGCCAATAATAATAATAATAATAATAATAATAATAATAATAATAATAATAATAATAATAATTGTATAGTAAATAGTTGAGTGCACTCAATGTTCAACTCTACCAAGCCAATAATAATAATAATAATAATAATAATAATAATTGTATAGTAAATAGTTGAGTGCACTCCAGTTCTACCAAGCCGAGAAAAAATTATATAGTAAATAACTGAGTGCACTCAATGTTCAGTTCTACCAAGCCAATAATAATAATTATTACATAATAAATAGTTGAGTGCACTCAATGTTGTTCTACCAAGCTGAGAAAAAAAAATAGTAAATAACTGAGTGCACTCAATGTTCAGTTCTACCAAGTTGAAAGAAATTATTATTATATAGTAAATAGTTGAGTGTCCTCAATGTTCAGTTCTACCGAGCCAAAATAATAATAGTAGTAGTAGTAATAATAATAGTAGTAGTCAGTTTATACAGTAAATAGTTCATTGCACTCAACGTTGAGTGCTACTCAACCAAAATAATTGTGGCGACAGGTGCCAGGCACTTATTAGCAATAATAAAAGTGTTGCGTCTTCTTCTCAATGGCAAGGCATGGGCGCTTACCCAAAAGACATCCTTAAACTGCAGGTGTGCCATGACGAGGAAGGCAGTCCAAAACGGTGCCAAAGGCGTCCGAATAACGGGTGCTTTGTTCCAAGCCGAAAAGGAAATTTTTCTTCTTCTTGACAAAGTGCAAAAACGGTTCCCTGGGAGGAAGTTTGTGGCGACGTTTATGTCTCCGAAGGAGGGAGCAGACGACACCCCGAAAGCCTCACCCGCGAGGTCTTCTTTTCCTCTTGCGTTCCACTTTTCGCTCCACCCCTCTTCTTTTCATTTCTGGCAAGCGACAAATATATATGTATAATAACGCAATGAGGAAGCCGAAAGAGAAAAAAAAGTTGCTAGTATGCAAAGCAGAGGCTTTTGTGTTTTGTGGGTTACCTTTTAGAAAGTACAGAAAAAGAGAGGCACACAACAACAAACGGTTGGAACAAAACCAAACTTGGATCTTGGACCAAAATCTTGCTCCCTATGATGTTTATATATATTTTGCCTATCTTATATATGTATATATGTATGTATGTATGTATATATTGCTAGGCCCAAATCATGTACACACAGGAAGCGGAGCTGCGGTCTTGCCGGCTCAGCGATTGCTGCAAGAACGGAAGGGTTTTCCAACCTCGAAACAGAGGAAATGCATCATTTTTTGCAAATGCACCGGGCTGACATTGAACTGAACATGAATGGAGAAGGGAGTGCGCTGCGCCACCGGAATACTAATGTGAGCAAAGGCGCACAACAACCAGCACAATAGAGGCCTTGCTTTGGGAGGCCTCGGGCCAGAAATGTTGACATTCGGAGCATGGGATCCCAAGCAGGCTGCGGCCTCCAACGTCTTGGCTCGCTTGAAGCCGTAGGTGATGATGAGCAGTGAAGCTGCAATTCAACGTACATTAATGCGGTTTGATGCCACTTTGGACTGCCGTGGCACAAAGCTACAAAATCCTGGGAGTTGTCCTTAGGGGCCACATTAACACTCTATCCCAGGGAAGGCGAAAACCCTTGCAAAACTACAACTCCCAGGATCTGACAGCATTGAGAGTGGGAGATGACAAAGGGTTTAATTCTAGTACAGATGGAAGAGGAGCGACAGGCCTCTTTGCTGCTGTCTTTCCTTCCTCCGTTTCCCTCATACACCTCTTCTTCCTTTCCTTTCTCTTCCCTTCCTTCCTTCCTCCTTTCTCTTTCCTTCCTCCCCCTTTTTCTTCCTTCCATCCCTTTTTCTTTCCTTCCTTCCTCCCTCCCTTCGCCTCATATACAGATGTCGTATTTCTTTCCTGGTGACTTCACAGAGGGCCACTTCACCTAGCAACAGCTGCTCCAGTGATCTCAGAGGGCCACACTAGCCATTCCAGTGGCCTCATAGAAGGTCACCCCACCTAGCAACAGCCGATCCAGTGGCCTCACAAAGGGCCGTTTCACCTATCAACAGCTGAACCAGTAGCCTCACAGAGGGCCACTCAAGCCAATGCAGTGGCATCACAGAGGGCCACTTCACCTAGCAACAGCTGATCCAGTAACCTCATGGAGGGCCACTCTAGCTGATCCAGTAGCCTCAAAAAGGACCACTTCACGTAGCAACAGCTAATCCACTGGTCTCACAGAGGGCCACTCTAGCTGATGCAGTGGCCTCAAAAAGGGCCACTTCACCTAGCAGCAGCCGATCCAACGAACTCACAGAGGGCCACTCTAGCTGATGCAGTGGCCTCAAAAAGGGCCACTTCACCTAGCAACAGCTAATCCAGCGACTCACAGAGGGCCACACTAGCTGATGCAGTGGCCTCAAAAAGGGCCACTTCACCTAGCAACAGATAATCCAGCGACCTCACAGAGGGCCACACTAGCTGATGCAGTGGCCTCAAAAAGGGCCACTTCACCTAGAACAGCTAATCCAGCGACCTCACAGAGGGCCACACTAGCTGATGCAGTGGCCTCAAAAAGGGCCACTTCACCTAGCAACAGCTAATCCAGCGACCTCACAGAGGGCCACACTAGCTGATGCAGTGGCCTCAAAAAGGGCCACTTCACCTAGCAACAGCTAATCCAACGAACTCACAGAGGGCCACACTAGCTGATGCAGTGGCCTCAAAAAGGGCCACTTCACCTAGCAACAGCTAATCCAACGAACTCACAGAGGGCCACACTAGCTGATGCAGTGGCCTCAAAAAGGGCCACTTCACCTAGCAACAGATAATCCAGCGACCTCACAGAGGGCCACACCAGCTGATGCAGTGGCCTCAAAAAGGGCCACTTCACCTAGCAACAGCTATCCAACGAACTCACAGAGGGCCACTCTAGCTGATGCAGTGGCCTCAAAAAGGGCCACTTCACCCAGCAACAGCTAATCCAGCGACCTCACAGAGGGCCACACTAGCTGATGCAGTGGCCTCAAAAAGGGCCACTTCACCTAGCAACAGCTAATCCAACGAACTCACAGAGGGCCACACTAGCTGATGCAGTGGCCTCAAAAAGGGCCACTTCACCTAGCAACAGCTAATCCAGCAACCTCACAGAGGGCCACACTAGCTGATGCAGTGGCCTCAAAAAGGGCACTTCACCTAGCAACAGCTAATCCAGCAAACTCACAGAGGGCCACACTAGCTGATGCAGTGGCCTCAAAAAGGGCCACTTCACCTAGCAACAGCTAATCCAGCAACCTCACAGAGGGCCACACTAGCTGATGCAGTGGCCTCAAAAAGGGCCACTTCACCTAGCAACAGCTAATCCAGCGACCTCACAGAGGGCCACACTAGCTGATGCAGTGGCCTCAAAAAGGGCCACTTCACCTAGCAACAGCCAATCCACTGGTCTCACAGAGGGCCACTCTAGCTGATGCAGTGGCCTCAAAAAGGGCCACTTCACCTAGCAACAGATAATCCAGCGACCTCACAGAGGGCCACACCAGCTGATGCAGTGGCCTCAAAAAGGGCCACTTCACCTAGCAACAGTTAATCCAGCGACCTCACAGAGGGCCACTCCAGCTGATGCAGTGGCCTCAAAAAGGGCCACTTCACCTAGCAACAGTTAATCCAGCGACCTCACAGAGGGCCACTCCAGCTGATGCAGTGGCCTCAAAAAGGGCCACTTCACCTAGCAACAGCTAATCCAGCGACCTCACAGAGGGCCACACCAGCTGATGCAGTGGCCTCAAAAAGGGCCACTTCACCTAGCAACAGCTAATCCAGTGGTCTCACAGAGGGCCACACTAGCTGATGCAGTGGCCTCAAAAAGGGCCACTTCACCTAGCAACAGCTAATCCAGTGGTCTCACAGAGGGCCACACTAGCTGATGCAGTGGCCTCAAAAAGGGCCACTTCACCTAGCAACAGCTAATCCAACGAACTCACAGAGGGCCACACTAGCTGATGCAGTGGCCTCAAAAAGGGCCACTTCACCTAGCAACAGCTAATCCAGTGGTCTCACAGAGGGCCACTCTAGCTGATGCAGTGGCCTCAAAAAGGGCCACTTCACCTAGCAGCAGCCGATCCAACGAACTCACAGAGGGCCACTCTAGCTGATGCAGTGGCCTCAAAAAGGGCCACTTCACCCAGCAACAGCTAATCCAGCGACCTCACAGAGGGCCACACTAGCTGATGCAGTGGCCTCAAAAAGGGCCACTTCACCTAGCAACAGCTAATCCAACGAACTCACAGAGGGCCACACTAGCTGATGCAGTGGCCTCAAAAAGGGCCACTTCACCTAGCAACAGCTAATCCAGCAACCTCACAGAGGGCCACACTAGCTGATGCAGTGGCCTCAAAAAGGGCCACTTCACCTAGCAACAGCTAATCCAGCGACCTCACAGAGGGCCACACTAGCTGATGCAGTGGCCTCAAAAAGGGCCACTTCACCTAGAACAGCTAATCCAGCGACCTCACAGAGGGCCACACTAGCTGATGCAGTGGCCTCAAAAAGGGCCACTTCACCTAGCAACAGCTAATCCAGCGACCTCACAGAGGGCCACTCTAGCTGATGCAGTGGCCTCAAAAAGGGCCACTTCACCTAGCAACAGCTAATCCAGCGACCTCAGAGGGCCACACTAGCTGATGCAGTGGCCTCAAAAAGGGCCACTTCACCTAGCAACAGCTAATCCAGCGACCTCACAGAGGGCCACACTAGCTGATGCAGTGGCCTCAAAAAGGGCCACTTCACCTAGCAACAGCTAATCCACTGGTCTCACAGAGGGCCACTCTAGCTGATGCAGTGGCCTCAAAAAGGGCCACTTCACCTAGCAACAGATAATCCAGCGACCTCACAGAGGGCCACACCAGCTGATGCAGTGGCCTCAAAAAGGGCCACTTCACCTAGCAACAGCTAATCCAGCGACCTCACAGAGGGCCACTCRAGCTGATGCAGTGGCCTCAAAAAGGGCCACTTCACCTAGCAACAGCTAATCCAGCAACCTCACAGAGGGCCACACTAGCTGATGCAGTGGCCTCAAAAAGGGCCACTTCACCTAGCAACAGKTKATCCAGCGACCTCACAGAGGGSCACACCAGCTGATGCAGTGGCCTCAAAAAGGGCCACTTCACCTAGCAACAGCTAATCCAGCGACCTCACAGAGGGCCACTCTAGCTGATGCAGTGGCCTCAAAAAGGGCCACTTCACCTAGCAACAGTTKATCCAGCYACCTCACAGAGGGSCACWCRAGCTGATGCAGTGGCCTCAAAAAGGGCCACTTCACCTAGCAACAGRTAATCCAGCYACCTCACAGAGGGCCACWCRAGRTGATGCAGTGGCCTCAAAAAGGGCCACTTCACCTAGCAACAGRTAKTCCAGRGYRCTCACAGAGGGCCACACTAGCTGATGCAGTGGCCTCAAAAAGGGCCACTTCACCTAGCAACAGCTAATCCAGTGGTCTCACAGAGGGCCACTCTAGCTGATGCAGTGGCCTCAAAAAGGGCCACTTCACCTAGCAGCAGCCGATCCAACGAACTCACAGAGGGCCACTCTAGCTGATGCAGTGGCCTCAAAAAGGGCCACTTCACCCAGCAACAGCTAATCCAGCGACCTCACAGAGGGCCACACTAGCTGATGCAGTGGCCTCAAAAAGGGCCACTTCACCTAGCAACAGCTAATCCAACGAACTCACAGAGGGCCACACTAGCTGATGCAGTGGCCTCAAAAAGGGCCACTTCACCTAGCAACAGCTAATCCAGCAACCTCACAGAGGGCCACACTAGCTGATGCAGTGGCCTCAAAAAGGGCCACTTCACCTAGCAACAGATAATCCAGCGACCTCACAGAGGGGCACACCAGCTGATGCAGTGGCCTCAAAAAGGGCCACTTCACCTAGCAACAGCTAATCCAGCGACCTCACAGAGGGCCACTCTAGCTGATGCAGTGGCCTCAAAAAGGGCCACTTCACCTTGTAACAGCCAATCCAATGACCTCATGGAGGGCCACTCTAGCTGATGCAGTGGCCTCAAAAAGGGCCACTTCACCTAGTAACAGCCAATGACCTCACGGAGGGCCACTCTAGCTGATACAGTGGCCTCAAAAAGGGCCACTTCACCTAGCAACAGCCGATCCAATGGCTTCAGAGGGCCCACTTCATCTAGCAACAGCTGATCCAATGACCTCACGAAGGGCCACTCTAGCCAATCCAGTGGCCTCACAGAGGACCACTTTACCTTTCCACAGCCGATCCAATGGCCTCACAGAGGGCTACCTCACCTAGCAGCAGTTAATCCAGTGACCTCAGAGGGCCACTTCAGCCAACCCATTGGCCTCACAGAGGGCCACTTCACCTAGCAAGAGCCTTTGTGGTACAAACGGACAAACACACATCCATACTTTGACATATCTTGATCGATCGAGAGATTCTGTTCTTGTGGACTTTTTGTTTTGCAGACCTTTCTAAACAGTATTTACTGATGTTCCATAAACAAAAAGGAAAGCTGGAAGTTCAAGAACATTTTGAAAAATTCACACCAGAAATGACACTTGTGAAGGTTTTAATTGGAGTGTTTTGTTGCGGGTAGTGTTCTGACCTAAAATACACCTGCTAAAGGTTCGAAAATAACCATCGGGCTGCAAAAATACCATTTCTGGGTCGTATAAACACCCACAAACTGAAAGTTCATTATAAACAGAAAACCTTAAGAAGTAAGGAAAAGCCCTGGTCCTCCTTAAGACAGAAGGACGACGACGAACGGAAAAACCCAGCCAAGGCTTCCACCTTTCCCAAATCGAATACTGAACTAGTGGTGATGGGTTTGCACTATCACAAGTTGAACCTTGGCGTTTTCAAGTAAGTTTCCGAAAAAGCAAACATCGGTTTCCATTCAAGAGTCAAGCTTTGGAGTCCCGAAATGATAAAGGCGAGGGGCGATGCGCAAAGACATTCGGGAATGAAAACCAGTGCGCGCGTATCTATTGATATATTTTACATCCGCACACAATTCGTAGGGTTGCGTTATATTCAGAGTCTCTTGGGAATTACAGTTCTTCGTGGTAGAAGCGCTCGTCCTGCAGCTGCCGGCCGTAATCTGTGGCCTCGCTGTTGAGGAAGAGATCCTGGTTTGCAAGGATTTCCACCTCTGTCAGTCTTTGGTCCCCATCCTGGTCCATTTCCTCAATGAGGTGGGAGGCCTGGGAAAGGAAAGATTCATTTTACCTAGCTTGTCAATGCATTGTCATTTCGCAAATTTAGCCTATTATCCACACTTACACCAGAAGCGACTTGCAGTTTCTCAAGTCACTCCTGACATGACCAAACCCGCCCCCACCCCCACCCCCAAAAAAACAAAACAAAACAAAAAAGGAGCAGATGAGGGTTCGAAGTGCTGAAAGTGTTTCTCAACCTGGGGGTCGGGACCCCGGGGGGGGGGGGGGGTCAGAGGGCTCACCAAAGACCATCAGAAAACACAGTCTTTTTTGTTTGTCATGGGGGTTCTGTGTGGGAAGTCTGGCCCAATTCTCGTTGGGGTTCAGAATGCTCTTTGATTGTAGGTGAACTATAAATCCCAGCAACTACAACTCCCAAAATGTCAAGGACTATTTTCCCCAAACTCCACCAGTGTTCACATTTGGGCATATGGAATATTCATGTCAAGTTTGGTCCAGATCCATCATTGTTTGAGTCCACAGTGCCCTCTGGATGTAGGTGAACTACAATTCCCAAATTCAAGGTCAATGCCCACCAAATCCTTCTACACCAGTGTTCACATTTGGGCATATTGAGTATCTGTGCCAAGTTTGGTCCAGATCCATCATTGTCTGAATCCACAGTGCCCTCTGGATGTAGGTGAACTACAACTCCCAAACTCAAGGTCAATGCCCACCAAACCCTTCCAGTATTTTGTTGATCATGAGAGTTCTGTGTGCCAAGTTTGGTTCAATTCCATCGTTGGTGGTGTTCAGAATGCTCTTTGATTGGAGGTGAACTATAAATCCCAGCAACTACAACTCCCACATGTCAATGTCTATTTTCCCCAAACTGCACCAGTGTTCACATTTGGGTATACTGAGTATGCGTACCAAGTTTGGTCCAGATCCATCATTGTTTGAGTCCAGAGTGCCCTCTGGATGTAGGTGAACTACAACTCCCAAACTCAAGGTCAATGCCCTCCAAACCCTTCCAGTATTTTTTGTCATGGGAGTTCTCTGTGCCAAGTTTGGTTCAGTTCCATTGTTGGTGTTCAGAATGCTCTTTAATTGTAGCTGAATTATAAATCCCAGCAACTACAACTCCCAAATGACAAAATCAATCCCTCTTCCCAACCCACCAGTATTCAAATTTGGGCATATTGGGTATTTGTGCCAAATTTGGTCGTGTCATATAATGTAGTTTATATGGGTCTACACATTGACGATATAACTGTTGGAGCTGTTTGAAATGTGTAATATAGATTTCAACGTATGTATGTATGTATGTCTAAAATGTAACGCTATGTGCCGAGTGTATTCCTGTGTGGAGAGTTAACTGTACCATGGAGGGAACGGCATTCCTAGAGAGGTCATAAATCAAAGTGTATAGAGCAATGGATGCAGCGTTGTGCGTCGTACATCATACATCACTCTGGAATGCAGGAGGTGTGGACTAGTGCTGATAACAGCATGTTCTGGAATGCAGGAGGTGTGGACTAGTACTGATAACAGCGTGTTTGAGTGTTTGCAATGTGACTACCCGACAGAGAGGAAGCAGTTTTACGATGTGCTTAGTGTTAAGTAGCTTCTTATGTTTATAGCTGTAAATAAAGTAGTTTATAGCCTAAGGTGGCTGTGATCGATCGTGTTTCCTGCCTTGCTGTGCGGCCGATGCCACTGACAATAACACAGGTATATGGAAGTCTAGATCCAGGCTTCCTGAACAACTGGAGCCCCGAAGTTTGCCCAGGCCTGATATAGATCCATCTCAAGAGAACATAAACATAGATAGATATAATGGGTGAAGTTCTTCCAAAGCCTCACCTCTTCCTGAGCGATGCCTTCATTATTAGGCACCACCCAACTCAAGAGCTCTTTGGGGTCGAGCCTCCCATCCTGGTCCTTATCGTAATCGTTTGTGAAGCGGTCCTTCTCGACTTGGATCCATTCGGGGTCTTCGCTGGCAGCTTAAAGACAAAGGCCACAGGTTTGAGTCTCCTGTCTGTTTGTTGTGTTGAAATCTTTCAATAATGTTCAAATAGAAAACAACAAATATGGATGGAGATTGAGCTCCCAAAGCCCGTTGTTGTTTTGTGATGCTTCTATACTTACTTGGATCCCTTCTATAGTCGCCCAGGAATTCTTCAAGGCTCACAAACCCGTCCCCGTTTTTGTCATGTTCTTCCAAAGCCTCTTGAATCACAAATTCCTAATAAGAGATAAAATAAAATAGACATCTAGTAATCTTGGCCCATGAATATTATATGGCATGTGAGGGACACAATCCTGGATTCGTAGACATAAATGGGTCTCAATCAAAAAGTCCTATTTGTTTCAATTGATTTCAATAGGATTTAATTTCCTGAGAAGTCTGGACTAGGGATGAGAACCACATGGCCTAATAATAATAATAATAATAATAATAATAATTTTTTACCACATTTTATCCCGCCTTTTTCAGCCCAAAGGTGACTCAAGGCAGCGTACATACTGGCAACAATAAGATGCTGAACACACACAAATACATCATTTAAAATAGGTTAAATCACATAATAAAATTCATATAAAAGCAGTTTAATAACATAATAATAATACATTTTATAATAATAATACATTTTATCTTATTGGCTCAAGGTGGGGTGCAACAAAGTTTAGATACACTGACTTGAGTCTCTTTATTATTATTATTATTATTATTATTATTATTATTATTTATTGTTTCTTTTTCCAGGAAATTGAGAGATATCTAGTTAGTTTTATAACTATGAATGTTAACATTGCTTATTATTATTGTTGTTGTTTTTGTTGTTATGATTTGTTATAGATCAGCCTGAAGCTGATGGTTTCACTGATTATTTAAAGAGGATTGTGGGCTTTCCTGTGGCACAAAGTGATGAGAGCTCAAGCCTGGGAAATTCAGATCTGGGAAATGATGTTTCTCCCTGTGAGAAAACTGGCTCGGAAAGTTCAAGGCCTCAAGGCCAGTTCAAGGAGCCAGAAGTAGTAGCTGCAGATAAGGAACTGAGTGAAGACCTGACTGATAACAAAGGTTCCCAGGAGAAACCACCAGTAGTTATTTATTATTATTATTTATTTATTTACAGTATTTATATTCCGCCCTTCTCACCCCGCAGGGGACTCAGGGTGGATTATAATCTGCACATATATGGCAAACATTCAATGCCAATTTGACATACAACGTATACAGACATAGACAGGGGCTATTTAACTTTTTCTGGCCGCCAGGGGAGCTGTCGCTTTCATCGTCCATCTGCGACACTGATGAAGTACTTCCGCATTCCCTGCATGCTTTTGCTGGAGTGGTTTGTTGGAGTCTTTTTTTATGGCTTCATAAATTAGTTAATTTAGTTATGGAGATCACAAAAATCTTTGTTTACAGATCACAACAGAAAATAGATTGCGTTGTTCAGAGAGCTTATGTGGGAAAATTGTGGAGAAAATTCATGGGAAACAAAATGATTTCATGGGTGTCTATTAAACAGAAAGTTGTTTATCTTAAGGTCAGTTCAGGCAACGTAGCGTTAGAATGAGAATCTAAGCCTAAGTTCCTTGGTTCTTGATTCAAGTCAAGCTAAGTGTAATAAGGAGGGTTCCCAGGAGAAATCCCCTCTAAAGATTTCCCCTGACATTAAGTCTAGTCGTGTCTGACTGGGGTTGGTGCTCACCTCCATTTCTAAGCTGAAGAGCTGGCGTTTTCCATAGATGCCTCCAAGGTCATGTGGCCAGCATGACTTCATGGAGTGTGGTTACCTTCCCGCTGGAGTGGTACCTACTGATCTACTCACATTGCATGTTTTCAGACTGCTAGGTTGGCAGAAGTTGGGGCTAACAGCAGGAGCTCACCCAACTCTCTGGATTCGAACTGCCGACTTTTCAGTCAGCAAGTTCAGCAGCTCAGCGGTTTTGATCCCAATTTTTAATAGTATTTTTGCAACACACAAATACTACTCAGTTCTGCATTCAAATATGTGTATTTTTAAACCTCAGAAAAACCTGTAAATTGATCCAAAAGGAGCCCTGCACAGGAATGCCTTGGAAAGGAATTTAATTTGAAATAAGCATTCCCAGTTATGCTTTTTTCTCAGAACTTGCCTTCATGTATTCCGCTTCCTCCGGGTGTTCAAAGGCAATGAATTCATCCAGATTCAGATCAGGAATGTCGTCCTGATTCGCCTTTTCGAACCGCTTCTTGAGATCACAAAAATCTTTGTTTACAGATCACAACAGAAAATAGATTGCGTTGTTCAGAGAGCTTATGTGGGAAAATTGTGGAGAAAATTCATGGGAAACAAAATGATTTCATGGGTGTCTATTAAACAGAAAGTTGTTTATCTTAAGGTCAGTTCAGGCAACGTAGCGTTAGAATGAGAATCTAAGCCTAAGTTCCTTGGTTCTTGATTCAAGTCAAGGTAAGTAATAAGGAGGGTTCCCAGGAGAAATCCCCTCTAAAGATTTCCCCTGACATTAAGTCTAGTTGTGTCCGACTGGGGTTGGTGCTCACCTCCATTTCTAAGCTGAAGAGCTGGCGTTTTCCATAGATGCCTCCAAGGTCATGTGGCCAGCATGACTTCATGGAGTGTGGTTACCTTCCCGCTGGAGTGGTACCTACTGATCTACTCACATTGCATGTTTTCAGACTGCTAGGTTGGCAGAAGTTGGGGCTAACAGCAGGAGCTCACCCAACTCTCTGGATTCGAACTGCCGACTTTTCAGTCAGCAAGTTCAGCAGCTCAGCGGTTTTGATCCCAATTTTTAATAGTATTTTTGCAACACACAAATACTACTCAGTTCTGCATTCAAATATGTGTATTTTTAAACCTCAGAAAAACCTGTAAATTGATCCAAAAGGAGCCCTGCACAGGAATGCCTTGGAAAGGAATTTAATTTGAAATAAGCATTCCCAGTTATGCTTTTTTCTCAGAACTTGCCTTCATGTATTCCGCTTCCTCCGGGTGTTCAAAGGCAATGAATTCATCCAGATTCAGATCAGGAATGTCGTCCTGATTCGCCTTTTCGAACCGCTTCTTGTCCCTCAAATGGAGCTGATGGAACATATCAGAGAAGGAGGAGAAGAGCCGAACCATCGCAAACACACAATAGTTTTGTATTATAAGAATGCATATAATATTAAATTGTCCATAGTCAAGAATGAATGAATGACTATATATTATATATAGATAGATAATAAAAATAGAATAGTCTTTACCAAGAACAGAATTATTGAACATATTATTATTATTTCTTACTTGCCTCTCCCCAAGACTTGAAATGGATTACAACAGTTAGGTTATTATTATTCTTATTACTGCCATTATCATCATCATCATCTTATTATTTTTACTATAATAATTACTATCATTCTATTATTATTACTATTATTAGTCATCATTATTACTATAGTCATCTTTATTACTATTGTCATCATATCATTATTATTACTATCATATCATCTAATTATTACTATCATATTTTATTATTATTCTCATCATCATCATCTTATTACTATCATCATAATCTTATAACTATCATTATCACTCTCATCATAATCTTATTATTACTTTCATCAATTTATTACTCTCATCATCATATCTTTATTATTACTCTCATTAACTTATTTTAATACTATTATTTTTGTGGTTATCTACTACCATCCTATATTATTATTACTATCATCATCACATTACTATCATTATATTTTATTATTATTACGATTACGATCATCATATTATCATCATAATTATTACTATATTTTTATTATTAATATCACCATCATCATCACCACGTTTTATTATTACTACTACTGTCATCATTTTATTACTCTCATTGTATCGCATTATTACTATAATCATATCACTACTATGATCATCATTATTAAAATAATCATATATTATTACTATCATATTACTATCGTCATCAAATTATCATTATTATTATTACTGTCATCATGTTTTATAATTATTACTATCATCATCATAATCACCTTATTATTACTTTCATTATCTTATTATTACTGTCCATCATATTATTATCATTAATACTGTCATTACCATCATCATCATCTTATTATTACTCTCATCATCTTATTAGTATTACTATCACAATATATTACTATTACCATGTTATTACTATAATCATAATCATATTATTAATACCACCATCATCGCCATCACCTTATTACTTTAATTATCTTATTATTATCCATCATATTTTCATTACTCTCATAATCCTAATCGTTTTATTATTATTACTATAATCATAATCATATTATTATTATTACTATTGTAATCATCATATATTACTATTAAGTTATTACTATAATCATAATCATATTATTATTAATACCATCATCATCTCCATCACCTTATTATTACTTTCATTATTTTATTATCACTATCCATCATATTATTATTACTCTCATAATCATAATATTATTACTATCATCACATTATTACTATAACCATAATCATATTATTAATACCATAATCATCACTTTATTACTTTCATTATCTTATTATTACTAACCATCTTATTATCATCATTATTATTACTATCACATTATTACTATAATTATAATGATGTTATTATTATTACTATTATTATTATTATTGTCATCATCATCATATGATGTTACTATTACATTATTTCCGTCATCATAATCATATTATTATTGTTGTTGTTGTTGTTGTTGTTGTTATTATTATTATTGCTATCGTCATCATCTCCATCAACCTCTTACCTGCCGAAAAGATTCTTCTTCGGCGTCATCGAGGGTCGTATCGTCATCGAAGTCTATTAAACGGTCGTACATCTGAATATTGTATTCCTTCCAGGAAACGGCTCCGTCGCCGTCCTTGTCGTATTCCTCAAACTGCTGCTTGGCGTCTTCCACAATGTAATGCCGGAAGGACCGCTGGATCCAAGAACGGAGTTCCTCTGTGGACAGACCCCAATCACACCCAAGATTAGCTGATCAATATGAAAAGAAAGACCATTTAGAACACAGCTGCCGCCCTTATTATAGCTCTGTATCGGTTCTTACACACAACTCAGTTTATGCACTGGATCAATTGCCAATTTGTCTTCTTATAGAAGGAATGCCTGTCATACCGTCAGTGAGGAAGCCGTCATGATTGGTGTCGATTTTCTTTATAATACTTTTCAGCCGCTTCTGTTGCTCCCCGGGACTCAGTTTGGCAAATTCTTCGGCTTCTTCCTTTGCAGGGAAAGAGACACCGATGAAAGTGAAAAGTAATTTCATATTATTTGTCATATAATTATTATATATTATATTCAGATAATAAATAAAATTAATAATATATGTTATATTCACATATAACATTCATATTACGTTATTATAATATTATATATATAATATTCCTATATTTTATATATTATATGATATTCATATAACATATATATCATTCACATTGTGATTATATTTTGTATTGTTACATAAACTATTTATACTCTATATGTCCTTTTATTATATTAACTTATATTGTATTCATATATATATATATATATATATGTTTTATACTGTTTTCATATATATATATTTATATATTTTATTCATATAATATTTATATATCATTCACATTGTGATTATATTTTGTATTGTAACATAATTATTTATATTTTATTATATACTAGCCGCCCCTTGCCATGTGTTGCTGTGGCCTACTCTGGTGGTCATGGGGGTTCTGTGTGGGAGGTTTGGCCCAATTCTATTGTTGGTGGGGTTCAGAATCCTCTTTTATTGTAGGTGAACTATAAATCTCAGCAACTACAACTCCCAAATGCTTTTCCCCAAACTCCACCATGTTCACATTTGGGCATATTGAGTATTTGTCAGAGTTTGGTCCAGATCCATCATTGTTTGAGTCCACAGTGCGGTGCTCTCTGTAGGTGAACTACAACTCCCAAACTCAAAGTCAATGCCCACCAAACACTGCTAGTATTTTCTGTTGGTCATGGGAGGCCTGTATGCCTGTAAGTTTGGTTCAATTCCATCATTGGTGGAGTTCAGAATGCTCTTTGATTGTAGGTGAACTATAAATCACAGCAACTACAACTCCATTTTTTTGGAGTGAAGGACATACATTGGGTCGCTAGGTGTGTGCTGTCCAAATTTGGTGTCAATTCGTCCAGTGGTTTTTGAGTTCTGTTAATCCCACAAACGAACATTACATTTATATATATATATATATATGTGTGTGTGTGTGTGTGTGTGTGTATGTCATTTTATTATATTAGCTTTATACTGCATTCATATAATATATATACAAATTTATATATGTCCATATATATTATATTAGTTCTACACTGCATTTATTATATAAAATACATATATTGTATTCATAATGCATATATAATTCATATTGTTATGTTTTATTTTATAAGATAGTGTCTGTATATTTTATGTCATATAAATTTTTTACAATATTATACTGTATTCCCCATACTTAATTTGTCACACTACATTCTTTCACATCATGTTTATATATATAATTCACATTGTTATTATATTTTATATTGTAACATAATATGCTTATATTATATATATTATATGCCATATCATTACGTTACAGTATTATACTACAGTATTATACTACAGTATTATACAATATTATACTACATTATAAATTTTCAAATAATATTTATATATATTCTTTGCATTATATTTATACTAAAATACATATTATATACTATATTACAGATTCATATTATTATATTATACTGTGTTCATACAATATGTGTGCATATACATACATACAAAGTCATATGATTATCATATTAGCAAAACAAAAACAAATGGCAAGCCACTGATCTAACGTGATTGGCCGCAAAGGGTGCATCTACATTGCAGAATTAATGCGGTTTAGTACCACTTTCAACTGCTGCTTGGTCGCAAAGGGTGCATCTTCACTGCAGAATTAATGTAGTTTAGTACCACTTTCAACTGCTGCTTGGCCGCAAAAGCTGAATCTACACTGCAGAATTAATGCAGTTTAGTACCACTTTCAACTGCTGCTTGGCCGCAAAGGGTGCGTCTACACTGCAGAATTAATGCGGTTTAATGCCACTTTCAACTGCTGCTTGGCCGCAAAGGGTGTGTCTACACTGCAGTTTATGAGGTTTAGTACTATTTTCAATTGCTGCTTGGTTGCAAAGGGTGCATCTACACTGCAGAATTAATGCGGTTTAGTATCCAGATCCTCCAGAAGTCCTGCATTGATGAAGAACAGCACTGCCCACTCCAAAACGAATCCACTCCAAGTTTTAGTCCCAACTTGAAAAGAACTCTCCAAAGTGCTGATTGCTTCGGATGGATCTCGTACGGCAAGGAGGAAAACCCGGAATGGACTCTATTCATCATTACGCGAGCCAGGCCTATTAGAGTGCTTGTTTTGGACTTCAACTCCCAGAAGCCTTAGCTACCTCGACTAATGAGGAGGCATTCTGGGAAATGGAGTCCGAAAGGGCTCTCAACCCAGATCCCGGCCTACCTGGCCTCCCAGCAGCGCCTCCCGGTCGTAGTCGGGCCGGTGCTCGCCCTCGGCGTCGTAGTGCTCCTTTAGCCCGAGCCCTTCGCCTCCTCCTCGGATCCCGAGCGCGCGGAGAAGCAGGCCGAAGCCGAGCAGCAGAGAAGGCCCAGGCCTCATGCTTTCCCTCAGAGAGAGAGAGAAAGGCCGACTCTTTTTAGCCCCGCCCCCTTCGCGGTATCGGGGAGTGCGCATGCTCGGAGTGGGCTGAGCTGCGCCTGCGCAATAAGTGGAGCCGCCGCGCGTGCGCAGAAGGCGCGTTCCCCTCAGCGGTGCCTTTCGTCCGCCGCCTCACCGTCGGCGGGACGGCGGAGGGAGATGACGTCACAGCGGCGGGACGCACGGCGGCGCCACAGCGCGGGGAGAAGGCGAGGGTAGGTCTCCGGGGCTGAGGGAGGCGGGGAAGGACTCGGGAATGGCGCCGGGCCGGGACACCACTCGAGTTAGGCTTCGGGCCTAGTCACAGTTGTGGGCCAACTTGGGCCTTCCCTCAGGGTGTTTTGGACTACAACTCCCACAATTCCTAACAGCCTCAGGCCCCTTTCTTTTCAGCTTAAGCGGCTGAGGGGGAAAAGAAAAGGACCTGAGGCTGTTAGGAATTGTGGGAGTTGTAGTCCAAAACACCCTGATGGCCCAAGTTGGCCCAGGCCTGATGTAGAAGCACCTCGAGAGAGAAAACATACATTTTAAACCCTAAACTTTTGACAACGACGACTGACAACACTATTATTATCATTACCACTACTTTACTCACTATAATTATTATTATTTTCATGTCTCTATATGTCAGTATGCTTCATGTCGCCCTTGGGGATCGGGAGGCCGAATAAGTCATCCTGACAATTAATAACGCAGCTTAACACGGTTGTGGTTGGGTGGTTGTAAGTTTTTCGGACTGCCTGGCCATGTTCCAGAAGCATTCTCATCTGACGTTTCCTCCTGAGAAAAATGTATACTATCACAAAGGACGACCGCCTCACCCACCTCATAGGAAACCTGCTACAAAACAGGAGCTTTTTTGTTGAGTTCCAGGGCCAGAGAAGTAGATGGCGGAAACAGAAGAAAGGACGACCACCTCATCCACCTCATAGGAAACCTGCTACAAAACAGGAGCTTTTTTGTTGAGTTCCAGAGCCAGAGAAGCCGATGGTGGAAACAGAAGAAAGGACAACCACCTCATAGGAAACCTGCTACAAAACAGGAGCTTTTTTGTTGAGTTCCAGGGTCAGAGAAGCCGATGGCGGAAACAGAAGAACGGCCTGCCTCAGGGGAGCTTGCTCGCTCCATCCATGTTCAACATTTACAGAAATGACCAGCCACTGCCAGAAGGGACAGAGAGTTTCATCTATGCTGATGATCGTGCCATCACCACCCAAGGAGGGAGCTTTGAGATGGTTGAACAGAGACTTCACAACCAGTGTATATCTTGAGATCATCCGGGGAGGCACTGCTCTCTCTCCCTCTGCCGTCTCAAACACATTTGGTGGGGACGAGGGAGAGGGCCTTCTCGGTCGTGGCCTCCCCCCAGCTCTGGAACTCCTTCCCTAGGGGAGATCAGACAGGCTCCTACTTTGTCCTCTTTCCAGTCACAACTAAAAACCTGGATGTTCCAGTGTGCTTTTGATTAAGCAGTCCACCAGTAATTTCCCAGCATTTACGTCGGCCCTCTTATTGTCTATCTCAACACTTTCGATGACACTATTCCCAGCCCTGTCTACTTGATTGTTGTACTTTGCGTGTGCTCCCTTCAGGTTGTACTCCACTCATGGAGCCTGAACTGCAGATATGTTCTTACTCAGCCATATTATTTTGATGTTTACAATTGTGGTTGTTTTTATATTTTTCTGATGTTTTTAATTGATTGTGTTCTATTTGTAATTTTTGGGCTTGTCCCTTGTAAGCCGTCCTGAGTCCCCTTTGGGAGATGATTGGCGGGGTATAAAAATAAAGTTGTTGTTGTTATTCTGAGGATGCCTGCCATCGATGCAGGCGAAATGTCAGGAGAGAATGTTTCCGGAACATGGCCAGACAGCCCAGAACGCTCACAACAACCCACACATAACAACCTTCTCCTCCTTCGTTTGGAGATAGGACAGTCGGATTTTCCAAGGAGAGGATATCGGGAGCTGTCCATCTCTGGCAACTTCCTGAAACCAAACTGGACCTTTTTGGAAAGGGATTTCCTTTCTCTAAAATCCCAATCCACCCCGGGATTTAGAAACTAGGCCTCAAGCAGACAAGAGTTCTTTCACCCACCCTGGACATTCCTCAGATATATAAACTCCACTTGTCTAGTTTCCAAAAAGACCCCACAACCTAGATACAGGCGAAATGTTTTTTGGCCATACAGCCCAAAAAACTTACAACAACCCAGTGATTCTGGCCATGAAAGTCTTCGACAATACAATTGCGGATCCTGGCTTATCTATGTCGTTTCCTAATCAGTTCTTATCATAAACACATAGACAAAGTTTATGAAACTGCAAAGAAAATCCACTAAGAAAATCCAACAAATGCTACGTTTAGCAAAGGACAAGAGGGATCCTCTCCACTCTGCAGGAGCCTACTGTTTACCATGAAGCTGTGGACAAGTCTACATAGGGACCACCAAACGCAGGATTGCCCAAACTCGAATCAAGGAACATGGAAGGCACTGCAAACTAATTCAACCAGAGAAGTCAGCCATAGCAGAGCACTTTATAAACCATTTTTGGAGAACACAGAAATGCTGGATCACTCTCACAACCACCATGTCAGACGACACAGAGACGCCATTGAAATCCACAAGCATGTGGACAATTTCAACAGAAAGGAGGAAACCATGGAAATGAACAAAATCTGGTTACCAGTATTTAAAAGCTCTAAAATAATAACAGTAAATAAATAAAAACTCTCAAAAGCAGGGGAATTCCAGACAAGAAACAATCAGGGCCAGCTAATCACCACTCAACAAAAGATTCCCCCAGGTAGTAAGAAGGCACACCTTCAAACTGCCAGGTCATGAAATACTAATCAAGATGGTCAGTTGAAACATTCATACCTACCTCCAACAGACAAAGAGTTCGTTCCCCCACCCAGGACATTCCACAGATATATAAACCTCCTTTTCCTAGTTTCCAGCAGACCTCACAACCTCTGAGGATGCCTGCCATAGATGCAGGCGAAAAGTCAGGAGAAAATGCTTCTGGAACATGGCCATACAGCCCAAAAAACTTACAACATCCCAAAGTGCAAAGACTTTGTCTTTACAGGAGGGGCATCCTGCAGCACATTCCATTGTTGATATCTATATAAATAAAAATGTAATGTTCGTTTGTGGGATTAAAAGAACTAAAAAACCACTGGACAAATTGGCACCAAATTTGGACACAAGACACCTAACAACCCAATGTATGTCCTTCACTCAAAAAATTGATTTTGTCATTTGGGAGTTGTAGTTGCCAGGATTTATAGTTCACCTACAGTCAAATAACATTCTGAACCCCACCAACGATGGAATTGAACCAAACTGGGCAGACAGAACTCCCATGACCAACAGAAAATACTGGAAGGGTTTGGTGGGCAGTGTCCTTTGGTTTTGGAGTTGTAGTTCACCTACATCCAAAGATCATTGTGGACTCAAACAATGTTGCATCTGGACCCAACTCCATACGAATACTCAATATGCCAAAATGTGAACACTGGTGGAGTTTGGGGAAAATAGAATCTAGTATATTATATATTTATTATTATATTGTTTAAAGATCAGGTGAGAATATCAATGACAAGATTGGAAAGCTTTTGTTCATAAACCAAATTAGCAGATTTAAGCAGCATTGAAAGAATTATTTATTTATTATTTATTTCTATCCTGGTTTTCTCCCAGCTGGGGATTCAAAGTGGCGAACAATATGTAAAAAGCAAAAACAGAACATACAATAAAAGCAGACAGCACAATAATAAACTTAAAGCACTCCCCTTGAAGGCACAGGTTTGCAACTTGGGAGTCCTCCTGGATTCATCACTGAGCCTAGAACCTCAGGTTTTGACGGTGGCTACAGAGGCTTTCGCACCATTAAAACTTGTGCGCCAGTTGCACCCATACCTTGGGATGTCAGACTTGGCAATGGTGGTCCGCACTCTTGTTACATCTAGGATATACTACTGCAATGCGCTCTACGTGGGGTTGCCTTTGAAGACTGTTCAGAAGCTTCAAATAGAGAACATTTTAATAAAATCTACAAAAGTCAAATCTGCAAATGTCCTGATTTTTTTGCCCTATTTCTTTTGCCTCTGCCCCTACCCACTATTAGAATAGAATTTATTACTTCATAGGCATTTCCCCAGTAATGAAAAGGAGGAGAATGGTGAAATAGGGATGTGACAGATGGTGTTGTACATTTATCTCCCTCTCTTAGGAAACATGCTCATACTTTTCCTCGGTTGTCGTTGGGACAGCACCTTCCCGACTCTTGGATATGTGTGTGTGTGTACCTGCTAAATCTTCTTTCTATAACTAATGTTTTTTCTTTTCCCCCCCAAAGTGGCTGCACAGTTTATCAGGACTAAACGTCCACTAACGGGCATAACTTTTGCCTTTCATGGTATGAATAGCACTTTTCCTGTTTCTCCTAAAGACCAAGAGACCCGTGGCATCTTCAAGTCTGTCTTAGTTTATTGTGGCATGACTCGAGGGGCAGAACTAGCATTTTGGCTGCACGGCTCCTTCCCTCCTGCACCTTCGGTCAGCCCTCTCTGCCACCCACCCTTTCGGCTTTTGCCCTTGTTCATTGCATGGTTGCAAAGTGAGCGCAGGTGGTGTCTCCTTGGTCCCGTCGCCCATCGCCTTCTGCTGTCCCTTGCACTGCGTGATGCACCTGCTTGGCTACCTTTTCATTCTTTCTTCTCTCTGTGCAGTCATAGAAGCATAGAACTAGATTTAGACCCCAAAGGCCATCCAGTCCAACCCCTTGCCATGCAGGCACACACAATGAAAACACTCATGTGATTAGAAACCTGCAGAGGAAAGAGACTTCACACTCCAAGGCAGCATATTCCACTTCTGAATAGCTCTTGCCATCAGGAAGTTTTCTCTTATGTTTAGGCAGAATCTTTTTTTGTCTTCAATTTGAATCTATTGCTCCAAAACATCAGAAAACAAGCTTATCCCCTCCTCAGTGTCACATCCTTTCAAATATTTAAACATGGCTATCTTGTCCCCTCTCAAACATCTCTTCTCCAAGCTAAACCCAGCTCTTCAAAGAGCTTGGCTTCCAAGTCTAAAATCATTTTGGCTGTCCATTCCAGCTTGTCCATATCTTGAATTGTAAGACCCAGAACTGGACACAGGATTATTCCAGGTCTGACTAAAGCTGAATAGAGTCAGACTATGACT